TACCTCTGAAACATTTAAAACACTTGAAATAAATGATTGCAATATGCGCTTTGAAGCGCAACATCTACTTGCTGTTTGGACGAAAATAGAGGCTCGTCGACGCGGAGCTCGATGCGGGCATGAAGCTCGATGCTACGGAGTAGCACGGAGGTCACAGGTGTGGAGCTCATCGGCAGCTCGGACCTTGGCAGGGGCCGCGGCAAGCGGATGGAGCGCGGCCGCAATGGGAGACGCGAGTATGGGTGGGGGTGGCACGAGGAAGGGCAAGATCCGTCCCGCGAGCAAGGGGCGCAGCGGGGGCACACGACGCGAGCGTGGGCGGTGCTGGGGAGGACAGGATCCACCCCGCATGCTGGGGCGCACAGCGCGCAGACGCCGCAAAGCGAGCGGGTGATGCGGACGGAGGCGGCGTGGGCGGGGTCCGTTCCGTGAGCGGGCGACGTGGTCGGGTCCGTCTGGACGGACGGACGACCGAACAGGAGCATTACCATAACTATATCTAAATCTATATCTCTATAAAACCAATCACCACTATAAATTCTATCTCAACATGCAAGACATCCACATCATCTTCGACTAATTCATTTCCGTGGAAAGATGCAAGGAACCGGAAAACAACCCTGCATTCTAAAGTGGACCCCTTTGGAACACGCCTACCCCTTTATTTTCTAGATTTTTTATAAAAATGAATTGATTTCTATAAAAAATTCTATATAATTTCTGCATCGAAATTGGCTAAGCGCAATGTTTTCGTTGTGCCATTTTCTATAGTCAACCAAGGGAAGAGAAGTCAACGGCCGACTGGATTTCATTAGGCTTTTGGCAAGCTAAACATGCAGGGGTATAGAAGGCTAAACGTGTCTATTACAGTTATACCCCCTCTGTCCTAAAATAAATGTCGTTCTCGCTTCCAATGAGTCAAATAATTTTAATTTTGACTAAATATATATAAGAAAAATATTAATATTTATAGTATATAATTAGTATTATTAGATAGATTGTTGAATCTATTTCATAATAAACTTATTTGGAGCTACAAATGTTGCTATTTTCTATAAATCTAGTCCAATTTAAGAAAGATTGACCGGCGCCGGTAATGGTTTGGGTTAGAACCGGTTTTTACAGTTTGGTTTTTCTGTTGGGCCTATTTAGTTTGGGGGCAAATGGGCCGAGCGGACCAGTGGGTTGGTTTGGTCTGGGTTAGCAGTCACAATGGATTGGCTTGGATCGATCAGGCTCTGAGCAGTGCAATCTCCTGAACCCGATGCCCTGCCCTTCTATGACTCCAGTTTCGCTATCCCCGATTCCCCGCCCATAGCGGCGGCACCCGGCGCGGCCGCAACTAGGCGTCGACGGTGTTGACCGTCGTGCGTCGATGGCGTGGCCAAGCAGAGGAAGGTGGCAGCGCGCCGCTTGTCTCCAGATCCGCATCATCAATACCCAAGTTGCGTCGGTGCTTTGAGCCTATGACCAAAGCCAACCTCGCCTGCCCTTGCGATGGATGGGATGGAATAATTATTGCTTAGATTATTAATCAATCTTCCGGCCTACTGCTGGTGTTAGATAGTGACCAGAACCGTTTCAACCCGTGGGTTTGGATTCGTTTGGGGCTGAAGATTTACTAGGCTGGATTAGTTTGGTTTTCAGAGGCAAAGTGGTGGGGTGGATTGGATTGGTCTCTTGTGCTTAATTTAAATGGTCCGGAGCAAATTTGGTCCGGTTGCTGGATTATTACCAACTTTGTGAATGCCATAGCGACACTTATTTTTGGACGGTATTATTTTCCTTGGGTCTCCGATCATCCATGAGTTCCTGCCTTCGAGCTTGCCCATTGCGTTGGCCGATGATGGAGGTGGCGGACTCAACGCCCTGTCGGCGCCGTAGCACCGGTGGCACGTTTGGCGGCAAGCTCGATGGCAGACGGGAGGGAAGGGAGAGGAGGGTGCTTGCAGGGGGCATGTGCCCATGCACATCATAGTGGATGTGTGCGGCATGGAGGGCATATAGGGAGCCTTCGACCGTCAGGAGACCCGGAGCCCTGAAATGTCTCTCCTTTGGCTGTTTTGGGCGTCGCTTGCATCGTCGACGCCTTCTTTGAGCTCGGTGTCCATTGTCGACGCGTCAACAGCGCCACCATATGTCGAGGAGTGGGCGGATCTCGAGGGCATTATTTCCCTTGCCTCCGGTAATCCCCGAGTTCCCGACGAACATCCATCGCAGGCTGCAACCCGCTGCCAAGCGTGCCGACGACGCCATCATATGTTGAGGCACGGGCGGATCTCGAGGGCATCATCGCCCTTGGGCCTCCAGTCATCCCTGTCCCGACTTCTTCGAGCTTGCCCATTGCGCTAGCCGACGACGGAGGTGGCGGACCAAGCGCCCCACCGGCGTTGCAGCGCCGACAGCAAGCTCGACGGCAGTCGGGAGGGAAGGGAGAGGAGGGTGCTTTGTGGTGAGGGGCATATGCCCCATGCACATCATAGTGCATGGGTATGAGGATGTGTGTCCCGCTGGTTCCTCTCTCCCGCAGTTAACACTTTCCATGCACATAGTGGTGATGTGCATAGGGCATACGCCCGTGCATAAAACTAGGAATGAAACTATATTGACTACTGTTTACTTATGGAGCCGCTGGGGAATCTTGAATTTTTTATATTTAGAAATACAGTGCATGACATTTGACGACTCCAAAATAATTCAAAGGACAATAAAAAAAACAAGCGAAACACAAACATAGCTAGTGAACACTTAGCCGGGGAAATTAAACCAACAAATAAATTCTATATTATATTAGTTGACGGTTGATGGATGTATATCACTTCAATAATTCTATATTATGTCATCAGTACATCATCACGTTAGTCGGTACTGATGAATTGAAAATCACAAATCAAACCTTTTATTTGCATTGTATATAATGTAGAGTCCGTATTATTCCTTACCATGGTTGACAACAACCCTTGTTCACCATTTGGTGGAACAACTACGTTGGGCACTTTGGGTTGCATACCGAACAATTAGCAGCCTGATCGCTGGGCTGGGGCTGGCTGGACTGGCTGGCCAGCCACCTCACATGGCTACTGTTCACGCGAACCAGCCAGCAGTACTTCTCTCTCACATAAACGAACCAGCAACGATACGAACCAGCCAAACGAACAGGCTGTAGCCCTGCACTCATCCATTGCGTTATAACACAACTCTTCTAGCCTTTTTATTCATGCAGCAATAGCCGTCAGTCCAAGTCAAAGGTTTACCACACTTTGCCGCATGGCAATAAAATACCAACACAATTTTATTCTCATGTAATGTTGTTGTGAAGTCGACCGCAGTAGAATTATCACTTGTTGTGGTGAGGGCAGCCGTAACTGATAACGACGTGGTGCAACATATTAAAGTCATCAACATTTTACATAATAAAATAAATAAAATTGTCATATATTAAGCTAAGGCATATGAGCATTTGTGTTAAATTTAACGTGTTTCACAGGGGGGAAAAGGCTAAATATTATAGTTCATTAATATTATATTACGCATACATGCATGTCTGATACTGATCTAGGCATAGAAAAATGCCCGGCATGTGTCAAATTAATCTTCTTGTGATATTTGGGCTAGAAAACCTGTGGTACGTTCGTGACACGTGAAGTTAATTATTCAATCTATATTTAGTTTTTCTTTGTTTCGAACAAAACCAACAAGAGGGCACGTCTTGCCGTTCACCTTCAAATTAACTGGGACAAAACAAGTATTTCCTCCGTTATAAATTGTAAGTCGTTTAAAAAGATAAAACAGAGCAGTATGATATGATAGAATAGAAGATCGTGTATAGATAGACACATAAATCATTGAAAAACATATGAGTTTAGGTCTTCATGAAAAAACTAACTACTCCTTCCGTCCCAAAATATATGTCGTTTTCCCTTTCCAAGAAACAACTTTGACAAAAAAATATTAATATTTATGGTATATAATTGGTATCATTAGAAAGATTTTGAATATAGTTTTTTAATAAATTTATTTGGAAATACAAATGTTGCACGTATTTTCTACAAATCGAGTCAAACTTGCGACACGGAAACCAAAAGCGACAGATAATTTGGGACAGAGGGAGTAGTTGCTTTTTAATTATCTTTTTTTTCTCCTCTCTGTTGAATAAAATATGCTATGAGCTAGCTCTTCGTATTACCTCTCTGTTGAATAAAATATGCTATGAGCTAGCTCTTCGTATTATTATTGGAGCTGTCCTTAGTTCTCCACTCTTCACTATGCAAAATTACATATTTATTTACACGAGCATGTATGTGATAGGGTGTTGAATACCAATGCATGGCAAAGATTGTGCATATGTATCACCCTCCTTACAACAAGATGGCAAATTACTTTTTTTTTTATTTTTGCGTTGGCCGTTGGCTTCTCGGCAGCTGGCCGCGTCTTCCTTTGCAGGCCAACAATAGCCCTGACGACATGCTGCTGCGGAAAACGAGGTCTTGGCAACAGAGTAGCAGGAAGCAGTCATAGTGTTTTTTTTTTTTTGTCGGAAAACCTTCAGTCAGATGCGCGTCACGACCTTCATTCAGACTGTACACGCAAGCACGCGCAATGACATGCAACAACAGGATTACAAGAAGCGGGCGGCAAAGTTGCAGAGCTCGATCTCGATCCGATGCCTCAGGTCTCTCCCAGCCTCTCGATCGATCATGCATCATGTCGCCCCCGCAGACCCCATGCTCGCATCATCGGAAAAACCTCCCGGCCACACCGATGACGAACACCAAGAACCACCACTCACTGCAGCATCCGTCAACGTATATATATGTACGTGCGTGCGATCAGGTGATGTGCTCCACAGATAGATCACATCGTTCGTCACTCACTGCTTCATCCATCATTCATCAACTACTGGAAATTAGAGAGCAGGCCGGATCTCTCGGAGAGCTGGAATTAAAAAGCAGGACCTGAGAAGAAGGAGAGAGCTAGATCAGATCGACGACCGATCGAAGATGGCGGGGGCGCTGTCGGTGCGCACGACGATGACGACAACCCAGCTGCTAGCAGCAGTCCTGTCCCTCTGCGTCGTCGTCTCCCTCTCCCTCCGCGGCGCCGACGCCGCGCGGGGCACCCCCGGCGACAGCCCGATCGTCGCCACCTGCCTGACGGGCCCGTACCCGGAGCTGTGCGTGGGCGAGCTGGGCCAGCGGCTGCTGGACGTCCAGACGGTCATCGCGTCCGCGGCGCCCAACCAGGGCGCGGCCAAGATCGCCGGCGCCCCGGGGCAGGTGGACGTCAAGGCGCTGGTGTCCGTGGCGCTGGAGGCGGCCTCGGAGGCGGGCACCATCTTGGTGTCCATCTTCGAGGGCAAGCTCCCGGGGTTCAACACCGGCGTGCCGGACTTCAAAAAATGCCTCGGCAACTGCACCGTCACCATGAAAAGCGCCATGCAGAAGCTCCACGGCGCGAAGGCCGCGCTGCACGCGGGCGACAAGCAGGTGGCCAAGACGCTCGCGCTGCGCTCCGTCGCCGACGTCTCGTCCTGCACCATCAGCTGCAGGGAGCTCAACGGCGACGTGCGCCTCATCGTCACGCAGAGCCTCACCGAGTTCACCAAGATGCTCCAGATCGCCATCGGCTTCATCAGCAAGATGAAGTCGGAGCCAAAGCCACCGTCGGAGCCACAGCCACCGCCGACGCGGACCACGCCATGATCACGCACGCATGCACCGGCCGTGTTTTTTAGCTAAGAGAGCGGAACGAACAAGCTCCTAATAATTAGCCATCATTCTGCGGAGTTTCTTTCATTTTTGTTTGTTTTCCCCCCATTTTGTTATAGTTTTGGTGTTGGTTTAGTGAATTCTCTCTTCTGTAAATAAGATTTTTCATGCATGACAGGCCTGGACATTGCTTGGCTGCACAGCCTAAGAATAAGATGCAGCTGCTCATCCTTACATGCATGTTTTCTTTCTCATTCATTCAAGAAAGACTTATGAATCTTATATTACTTTAACAAACTCTGTATTTGGCAGTACTACTACACATGGTATTCTTTTTTTTACAAAGCATAGTACAGATGTAGACACTCGATCACATACTCCTTGTGTCCCTAAGTAAATCAATTTTTAGAGTTGTCTTAAGTTACTTTTTTCAAATTTAACCAAATTTATCAAAAAAACATTATTTATAACACCAATGGACAAATTATGAAAATATATTTCATATTGTATCTAATGATATTAATTTAGTGTCATAAGTTTTGGCGCTTTTTCTATAAATTTGAAAAAGTTTGACTTAAAATAACTTTAGAAATTGATTTATTTAGGAATGGAGAGAGTATAAGTTAAAGCTCAGTTCGCTACACACACGGTATCTAAAAGAATCCTTGTCCTTAGCACTACTAGATCGTTGCTGGACGTTGGCATGCGACAATAGAGGAAATAGTGTGGGGGGGGATGCGTGCTTATCTTTAGTAGTATATATAAATTAAATGCTAAAACCTCTACACATGCATGTCAGATCTGAGTCCTAATATAATGAAGTAATGGCCCTTCAAAACTGATCATTTCCTTTGTGTTTACTTTTGTTTGCTGGCTAGTTCATGAGCTTTCATTATATTCATTACCATATGGTCTTCAAAATGAATGCTCCAATTTAATTAGCCGGGTTTTTTTTTCCACAAAATGAATGCTTGAAAGCTGTTCAGTAATAGAGTTCACTGCATGCATGGAAGACAGAAGGCATAGCATCTGGATGCCTAGATGCTCTTTTAGACACACCAGCAACCAGGGCCTCTGTGTTCCTACCAACTCTTGTATAAGTAATAAATAAGCATTTCGACTGGGTTCCTGGACTCAAGGTTTGTCAGTTCCCCCTTCTTGAATTTGATCATTTTTTTTTCCTAGATTCAAACATAAGATTTAGTGAAACAAAACAAATTAGGAGAAATGATAAGAAGGCAATTAACATTCAGATGACCATATGCTTCCTAATAAATTATTTAAGTTCGCCCATTTGCAAAGGTTTCCATGCCTTAGACCGAAAACTAACAAGAGTACAAGAATTTTTTGGCTAAAATACTGATTTCAATACGTAGATACAATGATACATCATCTATATGTAGCTGTAAGTCAAGAACATATATAAATAACATGCCATAAATAAACTAGGAGAGTTGTTTGAATAAATAATGTAAATAAACTAGAAGCAATCCTAATGATGATTAGAGTGGTGGTGCCATTAAGCAATCAATCATTAAGTTATTGTGAACAACCTCAGTATGGATTCCACTGGAGGTTAACCCCGAATAGAAAGGCATTTCAATACTGACTGTTTTAAATAAAGGTTTTAAAAACTAATCAATTTCATAGCATACCAAAAGTGCTGACGGAATTGTCGATGCCAGAAGGCTTGGCATGAATGATCCTTTCCCCTTGGAACGCCCCCATTGGTATTCCATATGGCACTCCACATCTCTGCGCTTTTCGTCATATCCTGTAAAACACTAACCCATGAAACATAAGCCATTCTTCTCATACGCTTGCAGATTTTGAGATCCAGGAATAAGTTACCTCGCCTCAGGGTCATTTATGTTTTTCCCTGTAAAGCCTCAAGCGCAGTTTCAACAAACTTAATATCCCCCTGTAGTGTAATATCCCCCTGTAGTGAAGCAGCCGCATGGTGGCAGGAAAGAGAAACCATCCGGCCGTTTCAAACACTTCAAACCCCACTTGACCATCAAAAACTCAATCAGATGATGACCACTGCGTAGACAAATCTAACTGATTTATCAGAAATGTTGCTTGCCACACTTCTTCCAGGTGAAACAGGGGCAAAATGATTCTTAGGTACCTACGGTTGTGGTATGTGGTTATGAAAACTGGCCCAGAAGAATTTTCGAGAAGAAAGGTCACCGTCGCGGACAGATCATCAAAATCTTGCCAAATAGATGCAATGGTATGTCAGTCAGCCAAAACAATGACAATACGAATGGAAATTGGTAGGTAGTCAGTGAATGGATGGGACACAAAATGATCATTCACATTTGAGAAATAAATAACAGTAATAGATAGACTGAACATGGTAGCTCACTTGCTGAGTCGTAAATACATCAGCTCCAAGAATAATGTCAGGATGCAAATGAAATACCGGTAGAGTAGACTTGCACAAACGAAACTAAACTGGACTATAAACTTCATAGGCAAGTAGATCGATGCAGTTGATTGATGCTATACTATACAGGATGCATCGATGCATGCATCAAAAACGGGAAAGCAAAGACATAACCAGATGCAACAAAAGAAAAAAGCAGGAACTCATCCTATCCCAATGCTTCCACATGCAAGAAACATCTTCCATGTTGCCATATACGGTTACAAAGGAGTACCAAGGATCAACCGCAAGCATAAATAAATATTATACAGCCTGTACGTCCAACTAACTAGGAAAATATTACATCACTGAGGATATTAACGAATCAATCAACTTTGATTTCCTTTCCCCAATGATGCAAGTTCAACGCTCAGTTCATCCACAAAGTTCAGCTGTCACATTTCACCTAAATGGGCTAAGCTACTGGAGATAATACCAAGATAATCTAGAGATAACAAACGACACTCCTACAGACATGTCCACTCCAGGGACGGAGGTTCAGGAAGCAGCCACGGCGCCACAGCAACCAGCAGGTACCCCATTAACCTGAACTGCCTTCTTGGAGGTGGTGGTCCCTTGAAGCTGCTGCGCTCTGGCACAGGATTCACCTGAACTTTGGCTTCTTGGAGGGTGGCGCTCCCTTGAAGCTGCTGCGCTCCGGCGCACGCGACTTGCTGAAGGTCTTCGCCTTGCGGCGCCTCCTCTCTTCCTCGCTGTCCGACTCTGCACCGTGCTCACGGTCCGCATTGCTTGCCTCGCGCTCCAGCTCCTCCCAGGTCTTGCCCTTCTCCTCCTCTGAGTCCTCATCTGACTCCTCATCATCATCGTCAGATTCCACCAAGGACTCGCTGTCGGAGTCATCATCTTCTGACTCGGACTCAGGCTCAGCATCGGAAGGCACATAGCCTTGGTCTGACTCCTCTGTGTCCTCAGTCTCCGAGTCACTCGCCTCCATGTTCAGGAACTCCCAGCCGCCATCGTCAATGAACTTCTGAGGATCATCAATTATAGTTTTCAAGATAGGACGCCAGTTCAGATTCAGCCTGCTCTCGTAGTACTTGAGGTCAGTTGTGTCCAGCCACTCCTTTATCGCGTCGAGCGATGCTGAAGGGATGGAATCAATGCGGAGAACATCCTTCTTGAAATCCTTGAACACAATAGCCATGTCAAAGTTCTTCGTTCCAAAGCCTACCCTCTCCAGGTTAACAATCTCTATCTCACTCAGGCTCACCACCAGGAAGGGGGTCTCAATCAGCTCAACCAAACAAGTAGAAGTTGGAATGATGAAAGCGGAAGCTTTATATGGGACACCATGGAACCCAAGCTCCCTAAGGGGGACATCAAACTCCAGGTCAAGCCCCTTGAACTGTTGTTGCGACCAGTGGTCATTAACCTTGTTCACAAAGTTCTGGAAATCCATGTTTATTCTGTTCTTCCTATCCCTCTCACGCTGCTCTTCTTCAATCTCATCAGGATCAAGTGCCGATCTTCTACTGCCACCAAGAGTCTGAACAACATCCATCACTTCAACATAGAACTGGACATCCTTTGTCTTTTTGTTTCCAACCATGATATGGTTGTGCAGATGGAAATGAAGGAGAGTAATCATTTCTTTCTCTGCAGGCTGGAAAAAGGCATGCTTTATATTTCCAAACATGATGTCCACGCGCTCATCAGACCTTGAAGTAGAATATCTGAAACCATTGAAATGAGCCTCAAGATTTCCAGTGAGCTTCCTCCCACGACCACCAAATGCAGGTCGTATCCACACATCACTAAGTCTCATCATCTTCATTCTGTTGTTTCCTATCTGAAGTTTCTCCTGGGTAACAAGAGTTGCCCTTTCAGCTCTCTCCGACTCCCTTGAAGCAACTTGCCTCCTCAACGTTTTGATCTGCTGAACAACTTCACTGCTATGCCGTGGATCTTTTGAGCGGAATGTAATTTCTTTCAGATAGATAGCGCCTTGAGAATTTAGCTTGCTATCATTTGAGAATGGCATTCCAGGCACATTGAAGAAGACGCGGATAGTGCAGGTGCGGTTGTCCTGGTGGCTGGTCACACTCTTGACAGTAGAAACATGGAAAGGAACCATGCTGCCATAAATAGGTAAGAGGACAGCTTCATTCTTCTGATCTACTTGGATCACCAAATCTCTCACAAATGGTACATCATTAACATTCTTGTATGCAACAAGCTCATTTGAAGCCCTTGCAGGACCACGTCCCTCACCAGATCCAGAACCACCCCAGCAAGCCTTCTAGCAGTCTCTTCATTCTTTTGACGAGCAAGTTCAGCCTGGTGCTGTCTCCGGAGCTCTTCCTTCGACATTTCCTGGTTGTCCGACCTGAGAGTTGCCTTGGTTGGCACGGCATCTATGGTCTTCGACTCTGTCTTCACCTCAGCAACGTCTTCATCATCTTCATTGAACGAATAAGCAACATCTTTGACTGCCTTGGAGCAAGGTGCTGTTAAGATCTCGTGTCCTCTTTCATTAACTAAAACTGTATCAGCTAACAACAGTGAAAACTGCTTTGTCTTCTCACTGGTGGTTTCTGCCTGGACGTTATGCAAACCAAGGGAGACATTAAAAACCATTCCATGTTTTATCTTACGATCATTCTTGGCATTCAGATTTAAGCCAGATTCTCGGAATTCAAGGCCTATTCCAGTTCCAGCTGACTTTGTTAGATTAGGAAGTAGTTCAGGGGCATCCCTCTCAATCACTGCCACTGCAGCTTGATAAACCGCACTCATCGGATTGCCTGGTTTCACTTCTTGAACAGCAGCTTCATGAGCTTTCAAAAGGGTCTCATATGCTTTACTTTGCGTAGGGGTAGCATCAATAAGATATGTCCGAGCAACATTTGAACAATAGCTACTGTATTTGGAACCAATTGCACAGATGATAACACTTGCTGAATCATAATACAAGTACTCATCGTTGCTAGACGCACCAGGCTTCAGATCAAACTTACCCCCACTTTGAAAGACTGGAGGATAGCATATATCAACATTGTCAGGCTTCAACTTCACCTTGACCTTGAGGGGATCAAGAATAGCCTTCTCTGTGTCATCCATCAAAGATGAGTGTGAGACTTTCTTCTCCTCATCAATAACCTTCTCCAGCTTTGGAACCACAAAATTTTTCAGAACAGATGAAGTTAAGTAAGCAGCCTTCTTCACACACGTGATCTCTGTGGTGTCCTTCACAGCAAAGAGCTCAGAGAAGCCGTTTGTTACATCTGTAAGTCGTACGCCTGACCCAGATAACTTTTCTGTCCATGTTTCAAGAAGCTTACCCTCAGGTACCTCTTTGGCAATGTGTCCAACAACTGGCTTGTCTGATTTCGATTGATTACGAGCAGACTGCACTATGTCATCCATCAAGTCAGCACCATCACCATTCTTGGTTTTCACATGCAACACAATGTCAGCACTAACAGCCTCATTTGCAGCCTTCTTGAGGGTCCTGATAAGATTTGCTTTCTTCTGACTGCATAAAACATGTATTTGCTTGTGCATGAAGACAATTATCGTTTCTGGAAATTCATATCCAAGTAACCAAATATCCAGGGCTGATGATTTCAAATAACGAAGATCATCAGAAGGAGGGGGGGTAGCAATTGCAATAGCATCAGACGAACTCCAAAGATCAGACTTGTGCTCCTTCCAATGGTCATAGAATACCTTCAGCCGCTTACTGAAGTTCTCGAGATTAATTGTATAGGCACCAGATCCCCCTTTGGCATTACCATTATCAGCCATCTTTGTCAATAAGCTAACATTAACCGAGGCAACTGCAAAAAGAATTGATCCATAGTTAGCAAACCAGAACATCACAAGGTTATCCTAACAGTAAGCCATGAAAGTGTGAGCCTTAGGAAAATCCTTGAGAACAAAACAAAAAAATGTACAGGCAAATATGATGGAGAAGTAACACAGAATTCAAAATGGATAGTGGTCATCAAAATAACATTTTCCTTATAGAAAGGAGAGCAACTTGCAAGTTACTTCAATTACTATGGATTAACTATAGTCAAAATAGGCAGTAATTGTCCCAATAACACCAACACTGCAAATTAAGATGTTCATTTTAACATATAATACAAAAGAATATTTTCCTAGACCATACTTGCAACCTTAAAGCATATCAACTTCCATGAGTCAGTTTGGGAAGGGCAATTCGAAACCAAATAATTAGGATTTACTTCATCGAAAAAGGCCAGAAGTGACTTAAGGATTTCGGGTATAGTTTTCCTTGCGACGGCCCAGGGCGCGGCGGTACTTGTGATATTTCTGCTTGGGACGCGTTTTATTTGGCAGTTTTCTGGATGTTAAATACCATTGGATGGGTTACTTTTTATTGGCATTGGAAACACATTACATTATGGCAAGGCAACGTTTCACAATTTAATGAATCCTCCACTTATTTGATGGGATGGTTAAGAGATTACCTATGGTTAAACTCTTCACAACTTATTAATGGATATAATCCTTTTGGGATGAATAGTTTATCAGTATGGGCTTGGATGTTCTTATTTGGACATCTTGTTTGGGCTACAGGATTTATGTTCTTAATTTCCTGGCGTGGATATTGGCTCCATACAGACAGCTGAATATTAAAAATGCTAGCTGTGTGTATCTATTAAGCCATGGTGATGAAGAAAACCACTTAACAGGAGCATTTTCATAATCTGGTATTAGAGACACTGATGACTGATGAGATGCCAATCATGTCAAAGAGAACAATAACATAAGATTTCAAAAGGATATTAACAAGTCATGTTGCTGTGGCTGATGGGCATATATGCAGCACGGATTCGGGTAGGCATATAGGTATTGGAAGGATACTGATATGTAGGCCTGTTCACTCACGGGTTCAAGCAGTTTTGGCCGGTTTTCCAACCCAGCCCACTGGTAGACAGTTTCCTCGATTGTGTTGTGCGGAGGGTTGCTCATCGGGTTGGGTTGGGCTGGGTTGCTGTACGGTTTCAATGGTTTGAAACCAGTCCGCTGGCTGGCTGTGCTTGTACGTGCTTCTGGAAACATTTAAGCGTTCCGTGCTGCTTGCAATTGCTACAGTGACAAATCAATGACTGATTGTACATGCTGGGTTAGGCTGCTTGCAATTGCTGCCCTCAAGAACTAAAAACTAAACTGCAAACGATGTTTCAATCCTGTAAAAAATCATGCTCTAGCTGCAGCACTATTACTATCATGTACAAAAGAAATCCAAGCACAAATTAAATCCTTTGAAATGCAATTCCTATCATGTATAAAACTTAGAAAAATCCAGCCACATCTTATCCAAACACATCCTGACATGCAAATGAATGTAACAAGGGCGACACAAAGGATTTGAGTTTCCAAATCCATCAAGCAGCATTTAGCAATACAATCTCAGTGAATCTAATATCATAATATTGGAAGAAAACCATATCAGAGCCCCACGAGCATATCTTATAATGTTTATTTTGCAACAATTCCAAAAAACCTCAATTATCATCGAGTTTTGAATGGAAGACTGATTTCAAATTGTGGTGATGACCCTGACCAAATATGGGAATATAGACATGTAAGATATTTGAAGAAGAAACAATCACAATGCATGCTATGAACTGACGGAAATACAATACATTGACTCTATAAGGGCCCAATGTATTACAAAATGTGATGCCTGAACTGTTGCACTGTCCTGATATCAGGTTGTAATAACCTCATGTTCAATATAACTAAATCCGAGTGACTGATCCCATAAATACCGTTAATTTTGCACACATCCATATCACATTGAATATAATTACTTGTACACTCAGAATAATCTCATGTTCCTTGTCAGGAATAACTCAAAGTAAGGTTTTGACATACATACATATTCAATTCAGATATTCTTCCTAAGACCACCAAGCAAGTTACAAGTCATAGACAACAGCCAAAAGCTAATCTACAATTCCAGAACAAAAGCTTGCTAGAAAAAAATCACTGGCAAATTATAGGAGCAAAGCATGATGTACAATTATAGTGGTAGTAGGCTAGGCTAGCACCTAAGGTGACCAGAACAGGCATCACTGAATATAACACTAGGCTAGAAGCTAAATAGAAGTCTAACTTGCATCAGTCTATCAACACTGGCATTCTTAGTAAAAAGAAACACAGCCAATGAGTTGCTCGTGTTTGCAATTCAATCATTTTCATGTAGAGCACCTCTTGTCTGAAATGGAGAGAGAAGGAATTCTAATCTCCACAGTTCAATTCTCAAATGTAGCAGTCTCAAATTTAGGAAATTAACAAAACGCATTCAGGCTCGCATCAAGTTTGTTCTTCGTCATTTGTCTCATTCTCGTCACACATCAAGCCGCAGATCATACAAACCAAAAGATGCAGCCTGCACTAGCACTACTCATATTTGGAGACTTGCACTAGCACTACTCATATTTGGAGACGCCATCTATTGCATAGAAGCAATCAAGCATGGAAAACCCTAATCAGTACGGGGAAGTGGGGAACAAAGAAAATCAAGCAACGAGAAGTCAATAACTGCAGAAATAGAGTAGACCGAGAATGGGAAGGGGATGTGGTGGACAACGAAATCAAGCAACGAGAAGTCAAGAACTGCATAAACAGAGTAGATCGAGAATGGGGAACGGGATGAACTCACGGGTGGTCGCCGGATCGACGCCGCGGGGTGCAGGATCGTCCCTGGCGGCCGGCGAGCGGGGGCGGGGGCTCGTCACCGGAGGCCGCCGAGCAGGGGAGGAGGCCCGTTGCCGGCGGCCGGCGAGCGGGGGCGAGGCTCGTCGCGCGTGTGCGGTAGAGGCGGCGCGAGGGCGAGGTGCTGGCGTCGGGCGGGGTCTAGGGCGTGCGAGCGTCGGGGACAGAGGGGCGATAAGGGCGCGGCCGCGCGGTGCTATTGTTGGGCTTGGGCCGCATTCAGTAAAAATTGGATCGGTGGCGTATCCATATCGGCCCATTGTACTCAATATTTTGGGACACTATTCATGTTATTATATACAGTGCTTCGAGTGCCATAACCCACATGGCCACATTCCTCTTCTTTCTCAAAAAGGAAAAAAAAGGAAAAAACATGGCCACATTCCTAAAGCTAAAAGCATAGTAGTTGATTGATAAAGTAACGGTGGACAAGAACAACACTAGTGGAGAACGAAATTCCCCTTAAAAAGGGAAAAAACTAGTCGAGTGGTTTCCTTAATAAGAAATATGTGTGTGTATAATGGCACTAACCTATGTTACAAGTTTCTATGTAAAAGCTAGATATAATTGTGTTGCCCTTGAGAAATTGAAAGTGGTGACATGCCTTGGCGCATGTCATATAGAACACCACGACTCTTGTAGTTGTCCTAAGATTACTGACACAGTATAGCACACTGATTATGGTATCTAACATGTACTCCCTCCGTTCCAATTTATAATTCGTTTGACTTTTTAACCCTAAGTTTGACCACTCGTCTTATTCAAAAAATTTGTGCAAACATAGTCAAATTTAAGTCATTCTTGAAGAACGTTTGTTAATAAAGCAAGCCACAACAAAAGAAGTGGTATTTTGCATAAATTTTTGAATAAGACGAGTGGTCAAACTTGAGATAAAAAAAGTCAAACGAACTATAATTTAGAACGGATTTAGTATATATCTAAATCAGATAGAATCCTCCAACCTTACAAATGCACACAACTCCACAATCCCACCGCCATGCTCATGAACCCTAAGGACAATCACCGTCTAGATGACCAAGGGAAAGAGCAATTTTTCTATTTGACAGACATCCCTAAGCCCCAGCTCTAGTCTACGGTTCCTATAGCGAAACCTACAACTAGTACACCCAAGATGTCCCCATGCCATGGGAGAGGCCTCAACACGCCAAAACGTGTTTCACATTTCAGACGCTACAACTATCCCGGGATGCGGCGAGGCGAATCCCCGACAAAGCGGATAGATGGGGGCGTTTGTCTGTGGAAGTCAAAATGGATTCGCGGGATCACGTCACCGCGAACATCACGCATGAACGAAAATTGAACAAGGTGCGCAAAAAGAGTAGGGTAGGGTTTCCTTACCTAACGACGCGAGGAGGGGTGCACGCCCTGTGAGACTAGTGCTCTCGACGGTAGCGGTAGGGCGTCCTTAGGAGGTGGAGCGGGGCACAGTGGGCGAGAGGAAGGCTCTCCTATGGCGTGAGACTACATACCAAGGCAGCGGTAGGCCGGCAGCGCCTCATCATGGGTGGCGCCGCCAGTGGGAAAGGGAGTAGGAGAAGGGGAATTTTGGTTAGGGTTTATGAGTGGTGACGACTAGATGGAAAGATTGTCATCGAGAGGGTGAAGGGGAAGGAAGTGGGCCATAATCGAGGAGGAAGCCACCAACGCTTGTTGGGCTTTCGTTACTGGGTCTAGCCAGCATTCAATTGCAGCAATGGGTAGTGTGACTTTTCTTATTTGATGATGGAAAAAAAGTAGTACATGAGAGTTTTTTCTTATTTTTAGAACCTTTTTTGTCATTGAGGCTTGACAGGGAGCTATAAAAGAAATTGTGAGTGAGGGTCGACAATGTTGGCTATTCCACTGAATTATTTTCTACTATATTTTTCTAGTATAATAATAAGGACACATCAACAAGAAAAAAAACTAAAAAAGGTACCAAATTTATTTGTTCGCTTGAGAGCAAAGTCACAGCCTCTATAGCTTTTTTTAGTTCTATCTACGGTCATAGAAGGCAAATTATAGCTGCAATTGCAGCGAACATGATGTTTTTA